ATATCATCATTTGAGCAACCTTTGCTCACAACCTTTTTACACAGTGACTCATTTACATCACAATAATTATCAACAACAATTTTCTCTCCTTCCCCCACCTCAGGGATTACACTCACCTCATCAACTTCACGCAAAAAATCAACTTCAGGACTTACATTATCTGATGGCTCACCATGAGATACAACAAAAATCATGTCCTCAGACATTAGAACAGGGTTCTCTTTGCTTTCAATGCCGCCCGTTTCCATAACAACCAGTTTATTACATACTGTGACGCTGGGACAATCCCCTACATACGTCCACCTAAGGTCATTTCCAATGACTTCTACCTTATTAAATTGTCGTCCCCTTTCTTCTTTACATTGGACTTCCTGGGATACACCAACTACTTCAACCTCGTTTTGACATGAATCTAAAGCTATATCTGTACCCTTTGCCACTGGGGGTATGTCAGCACGGTCAACGTTGTCCCTTTTAACGTTAGCCGACGGATCAATTAACAAATCACTGTCATTTCTATTTAAAAAAATTGAGTCGTCAGCAGAGGCAATAATATCATTTTGTTCCTCAGTATTTTTAGCCATGAACCGTGGTTGCGAGGCCGGCTTTTGCCTGGGGTCAGGATCATGAGTATGTCCACCGTTATCCACATAGTTGTTTTACTTTCATTAATAGAAACTCTACTAAAATTTTTATAGGGATTCTCACAGTGAATACTGGCAATGCCATAATATATTTCTTCCTCTTGACTCTCGTCATCGTCACTGTCGCTATAATAATATGCCTGTCTCTTTAAAATAATTTCCCGTCGTTCTGCCTCTAATTCCGCCAGTCTAATTTTTTCATCTAGTTTATCCAGTTCAAATTGTCTCTGTTTATCTCTCTCTCTACGTTCTTCCTCTCTAGCTCTAAGTTCTTCCTCTCTCTGTCTATCTATACGTTCTTTCTCTCTCTGTCTATCTATACGTTCTTCTTCTCTCTGTCTATTTATACGTTCTTTCTGTCTGGCTCTAAGTTCTTCCTCTCTCTGTCTATCTATACGTTCTTTCTCTCTCTGTCTATCTATACGTTCTTCTTCTCTCTGTCTATTTATACGTTCATTCTCTCTCTGTCTATATATACGTTCTTCCTCTCTCTTTCTATCTATACGTTCTTCCTCTCTGGCTCTAAGTTCATCCTCTCTCTCTTCCCGTATGTGTTCTTCGACCTTAACTCTTATATATTCCTCTAGGTTCTCTCCCGTATAAAGAAGTAACACACCCACATGCCTAATTTCTTCTAAACTCCATTTCCTACTGACATATCCAGCCAT